CGCTTGCAAGCATGTGTGTGTGTGTGTGACAAAAAGATAATTTACTAACCTTTGCTAACTTTAATGATGGCTGCTGCTAGTCCTTCATTCACATATTGATTATTCTTATAAAACTGGAACATTTCCTCCGCCCTTTCATAATTACCAGGCTACATCAAAGACACTGACAGTAACACGTTTCTCAGCTGTGCCTTTTGTCTTTAATATCACATTTTTCCTTGCCTTGATGACTAATAAACAGCAAGCAGACTGTTAAATAATAGATTGTTGTAAAACCAGCTGAAGCTGCAGTTTATCTATAAAAGGTTATCTCTGTTGTCATTTTGACGTATCAGGTTATTATAGTGGAGATGTCAAATGGATGCTGAACATAGTCCAGATCAGCAGGTGGCACTCTCATGACAGTAAAATAAGCATCCACCTCCATGTTTAGACAGGATGTGATGATTTGTTGAGGTTGGAGGCAGCATGCTGCTCTGAGGGAGCTCATGTGTTTGCCTTTTAGTTTATCTTAAGCCTTTCAGAGAGGACAACTTCAGTCATTGGGATTATAACAATCGGGTTTCAAAGATAAGCCCCATCTGACCAACACAGAGGAATTTTGTTAATTTTTTTTTTTTCATTTTATGGACAAATGACATGGGAATGTTGTTTAACAGTCAAGTACTTTGTTTACAAGTTGGCGAATGAAATTTTTTTATATTCTACTTCTAATAGCTTGGATAAGATCCCTGGCCTACCAGTGTGAAACCACGATACCAATATAGCTGGATACAGCAGCAGGAGCTGACATAGTGATGCATTGATATCAATACAATACACACACTAGGTTTTTATCTTTGCCCTCTCATAAAAAATAATTTATTGATAAAAACATTTAAATGAGGCAGCCTGATGCTGAATACTGTCTATCTACTTTCTATTTTACTTTTTCTTTGAGCCTCTGAACAGTAAAACCTACTGGTGGGTTTGGAAGGAATGCTATCTTTTAAAAAAAACAAAAAAACAAAATTGCATCCATTGTCAGACCTAAAGACTGTGAAAATGGAGAGAATTGTCAGATTTTCAACTTTCTGACAGTCCTTAAACTAAGCATGTGTTATGTGCAGTTCCTTAATCAAATGTGACCTTAAATTAAATTCAATCAAAATCAAAACCGCTTTAATCTGCAGGTCTCATTTAAAAACTCACTAAAATAATCCTGTAAATATCAAAAAAGTCTGCACTCCCAAACCTGGAGTGACTCAGTTGCACCCAGCTAGGTCAACAATTCAATGAGTATTTGATTGAACTGCAGGCTGTGTCTAGCAGAGAGGAGACAAGTTTGGAACAAATTCAGAGAGAAACAGGGAAATGAAGCATTACTGATAAAATAAATACAGCAGGGTTTAAACATAATACACGTAAAAAAATGTGCACAGGATGTAGAACAAGCATTTTTTTTTTCTGTAGCGGTAACACCTGGGGGTATTTGGAAAAGAGAATGTTTTTCTTTTCTTTTCTTTTTAAAGGATTGATGCCATGATAATGGTGCTATAATGCACAAAATAAATTTTGGAGCTCTTTGCTCATCTAGCCATGATTGTGCTGTTTCAACAGAGGTGCAGGACTTTATATTGCCCCTCAGAAACTGCTTTGAGTTCAAACAGTTAATACATTATAATCTAGAAATAGGATTGTTTACTGGTGGTGACAGACAGACATACACTTAGTGTCTTTAAATAAAACCTACATTTAATTTAACTACTCTATATAAAAACATTATACTTTGTTTATTAAAGGATATAACAATGTTTGCAACCATTACCAGGATTTATACCGGTGCTCTTAATCAACTTTGCATGTAAACACGGTGGGTATGTGTGCTACAAAGTCAAATAATGAATTCATTACTCAACTAGTTCATGAGATAGCCTAGTAATTAACCTGATATTTATTGCAAAATTATAGCTCTTACTTTCTCTTTTCTCTGTGTTTTAATGAATATTAAATATGACAGGCTTAGTTTGAGCAAACCTGCATGCATCACAAAATTATCAGCCCATTTCTGTCAGAATGACAAATACAAAAACTTTTTCACAAATTCTTATCCCTCTCTGAGGCGTGGGTGAAAGTAGAAAAGCTGTTGCAGCTTTTCAGCGGCAATCATGTATCTATTCAAGTTTAATGACCTGTCAGGTAAGCAGAGTTTGCAGTTTGCAGAGAAAATGAAATTATGCTACAATTCCCAACACACTGCTGTAGGTCGAGAAAGAACTGAGATCAGCAGGAATAATTAGCTCCAACTCCATCCTTTTGATGAACTAAAGGCAATAAAGTCCCAGAATAGCAGAGGTCATGCACTGGATGAAATTAACAGAGTATTTCCAATTTTACCTTGGCCCCTAAACTCCCTCTGTTAAGACTCAGGGTCATATATACTTCCAAACACTTCACAGTTTCCTATTGCTTGAATGCTCAAGAGACTAGTGGAGCAATTTCCTTCATATTAAATCAAACGTGAGTGAGGTGCTAACAGTGCTGCAGATAGAGAAAACACACTGACTTGTCTTGCTCCGACACCTCTCAGGATTAATAAAGTCTGCCAACACATAGTCCTGTGAGGAACAAAACACTTTTTAAAAATCTGGTCCAACTCTGTCAGCCTCACATGCTATAGTATCAGTATGACAACCTGCAAAAATGCATCTAGGAATAAATGCTTTCAAAAGTGATTTGAATTTAATACCATGCAACATGGAGAGATGCACATTTTTAAGGCAGAGTAGTGAAAGCCTGTCTCCTTTAATTTGCAAAGTGAAAGATTCACTCCCTGCGTGCACACATTTCTTTTTTTTTTTCTTTTCTTTTCTTTTTTGTTTTAACTGCATACCCATTTCTGGTGAGACGAAATGAGAGCAAGAGAGGAAGTGGGGATACTAATAGCTTTATCTCAGAGACTGACTTTGAACTGCATCTCCTGTGAAAACCATCTAACCACTCTCACTGTGTTTTCTGATTTTAATCAGCTCCTGGCAGGCTGGATCTTATTTTAAATAAAACTGTCAGTGAGGAAAAGACATAGATTTATAAACGAAAGTCAAGATTTATGGATGAATGACCACCAAGGCTGTTTATGTGTGGGCTAATTATCTATTTGGCTGATATAATATGCCACTTGGGGTAATTAGCTGATGAGAATTAAATATCAGTATAAACTACACCTAAAGATATCTTTTCATCCCATGATAATGTGTGAGCAGAACATCCATTTTAGTGTCCTTTAGCAGTCTAGACAAGTGCTTGATGTTCTTCTTGGTCTTCACAGCATGATCACTTTTTTATTGTATAAATGGCATCTTGGGATGCTCCACCTCTGTGATTTAACTGCATTTGACATTTACATTTCATCATTTTTTCCTCCATGTAGCCTCAGCATGAAGCACCGTGGCTGAGAAATGGTCTTTGGTTCTGGTTTAAATGAGTTTGGTGTGCTGCAACACCACTGTGCACCTACTGAGAGGTCTGGATTACTGGTGTTTAACATTTAAATGTGAATTCAGAATTCAAAATGGCGGCATACTAATGACTTCAAATAGCATTTTTCTGTGAAATGTTCATTTCTTGGCATACATACATGTAATCCGGCAGAGGTGACATGTTTTAATTGATTTTATTTGTGTGTTGTGTTTTTAGAGTGTTGTGCATTTTAACTTGCTTTTACGTTTTATAGTTTTATATTTGCATGCACTGTCGCCACCCACTGTCCCCATAGCAACCCCTATCACCTGACTCCACTGCCCAATCCCTGCGACCCCCAAATCAGTGCACCTGTGCCATGGCATGAGAAGGAGCAAACAAAAGAGCCCAAGGAAAACAAAGAAACGGAGAGAGACAGAGAGGGAGCAAAGAGTGGCCATGGTGCAGACAGAGCCCACGACAACGTGATAAGGAGGCACACGCACCGGGGACGATGAGCACGCTGGGACAGCAGGTGTTACAAGGCAACACACATGGAAAGGCAGGGCAAGGGCCATAGACTGTATAAAAGATGGACGTAGCAACCGGCCCTGAAAAATGAAGCCAAAAACCTGCAATATCACCATGTCCGCTCATTGCTGGCTCCAAAAAGCCCTGGCTCCCATAGACTTGAATTGGAAAAGAAGTGATCACAGATCAAGAAATACTGCATTCCTACAGCTCAGGATTTTTTTTCTTATTAGTTTTCATGGTCAGATCCAAAGATCAGGTGGCCAATCTGAAAATACATCAATACTGAATTTTTAAAAAATTGTCAAATTTTTGCGGGGCAAGGGGCGTGGCTGGCTTGATTGACAGTCGGCAGCGACGATGCAGACCAAGCGAGCAGAAGGCGGTAAATGTGGGCGGGCAGAGAGGGCCTGCCTCTCAATCCATCTGACCAATCGCTGCTCCTATGGCTCCGCCCCCCTCCGATGATTTTTGCATCACTGGCTCCAAAAATCCAAGATGTCAACCAGGAAGTAGCAAAACCCTGGCTTCATTTTCTCAGTGCAGAAACCAACGGGTGACGTCACGGTGGCTACATCCATCTTTTATACACATCTTTTATACCCTGCCTTCGGTGTAAGTACCACTCGTTGAAGTACCAACACTTGTCGGAGCACACAGAGAAACGCTAAAATATCACAAAGTAGAGTGCATACTGCCGGCCTGTTGTGTTTCCGCGTAGGTGTCTCAGCGTGCCAGAGAGGACCAGTGCCAGCCGGGACGGAACAAGATGAGTGAAGGAGTGTAGCGACACTCCACCAGCGTAGCCTTAGGCCTTGATGTCTTGTACTCCCCCGTGCTGGCAGCTTTGCTTATGTGACACCTGGAAAGATGTTCTTTTTGTTTATGTATATATTGTACATGTATTTACACTTCATTCAGTTGATCAAGCAGAAGCTCCCAGTTATTTGGCTCAAACATAATTACACTGTCCAGTAGGGGGCAGTACAAAGCGGTGTGTATAGTGAGATTACTGCCAGGTAGAAGAAGTCATGTTCTTTTTTGTGTTGTCATTGCCGTGGGTGTGAGATGTTGGAGCGCGAAAAGTGAAGTGTGCGTGTGCCCGCTGTTGCACCGACAGCTTGTTTGTGTTACCAGTCCTGCCGGTGAAGTAATAAAAGTGAGCTCGTGTTTCTACACCATACTGTCGTGGTCTGAGTGGTGTAACACTTAGTGTTCACAGGTGACCTGGTGCGTGTGACCAAGGACCCCCCACCGACCTGGATCGGTGTGGAGGAGAGGCACATTAAGCACTTTGGACTTGCTGCTCTGGCGGTGCCTTTTAAATATTTTTTAGAACATTTTTAGCCCACTTGTTTTTAGCCCACTTGTTTTTATTGGACTTTTAGAGTAATTATTTTTATTTGTGGGGATTTTATATTTATATCTTTTTAACTTTTTGTAATAAATATTTTTAACCAGACCTGCTCCTGTCCTCCATGGCAACAGTGTGCTCTCACCCGGTCATTTCCATTTCAACAATAATATTTCTTCTGGTCAAACTGACCATTTTTGACATTCATCAATAGTCTCCACCATTACATACCCTTACATACACACATGCATTCCTGTCTTCTGTTGAGGGCACAAGGTGACTAGTAGTCTGAGATGTCAGTGCAGGCGTCTTAGATTATGAAGGCTGCTGACTGCTCATAACGAAAGACTGATTAACAGTGAACTGAGTAGCACCATACAATATTGCATGACTAAAATCGTTCAGAATAGTAATTCTGAACATCTGATTTTAATGAGATTTTCTTGAAGGCATCAGCATGGCATGGGATTGTAATTGTTATCTGCCCCAAAGACTTGTTAACAAGTCCATATGCTATGAACAAAATTAGCAGCGGATGTTGTGGCTGAGCATTTCTGCCTTGAAACTTACATAACATATCGATGACTGCCCCGAAGACGCAAATAAGATTTTCAGGAATTTATATTTAAGGAGCCGAAGCAAGCAATCCTGTTAACTTGAGGGTTGAGGATTTTCATGTCATTATTGTTCTTCAGAATTGGTTTACAGTTCTGACTTATAGGGCTGAACTATTCAGATATCACACCTTGCCATTGTGTAAAGTAGTTTTATAGTGATTGAGCAGAGTCATAAATGAGTTGGTGTGCTGGAGTTGCAGCAAACAATGGAGAGATAAGAGGAGGGGCAGCCAGAACCCTCATAAATGTGCAAACAACAATAAGAAGTTATGTCTTTTAAAAGAGAAGCATTATTTTTACATTGAACACTTCTAAATATGTAACTTTGATACAGACACATTTTATGGGGGTTTAAATAATGACTAAAGAAGGATTTTAACCTAAAGTACATTGGTAATACACTTATATTCATTAACCATCTAAGTCACACTAAAAAAAAAAGAAAATTCTGATCTGATAAAGATTAACCTCAGCACACACACAGTAAAGAGTAAGCAAGTGGCTTTTTTTTTTCTTTTTAAAGAATGTTATGTTTCAGCACTACATCGCAAACTAGCTGTAATTCCTGAACAGGTGCTGACAATTTTTTGATAAAGGTAGTGATTTAACTGTTACTACACCAGCTTGAGCATTTTCTGGCTTGTGTGCGATGTCCTTTGCATGACTCTGTTCCAAGCATGCACTCCTCCAATATGCTTAACACACAGTGTTATTTCCTTAAAGTCACAGATCTCTTTTCGTGCCTTTAAGTGGAAGTTACACTACAAATGCACTCATATCCAGCAAACGACAACAAAAAATAGCAACAGGATATCTACCCAATCAGGTAATTGTAAAAGTTAAATGACAGTATTAAGTGTTGTTCACAGTGGCATCAGCTGCACACGCACGCTCGCATGCACACATCAGATTCCAAAATACTGATGTGACACTGCATTTAACACAACCCCCTGTTAGTCTGATGAAAGTGTCACTCTTGCTGTTAATACAGCTTGGTGCTGGTAAACACACATCCTCCATCATTCCTGTCAGTGTTTCAGTCTTCTTTAGGATTGGCTTCATTCCTTTTGTTGTATTAAAAAAAAAAAAAAAAAAAAAGTTGAATCTATTATAAAGGCATGCTTAAGATTTGAAAAGAGAGAGAGAAAAAAAGTATTTCAATATACATGCATTTTACACAGATTTAATATCAAAACTCACGACACTGTAATTAGATAGGATTAATGCTCATTCTGTATAACTGAACTGTATATAGTTTACAACCAGTGCCAGTGCAGAAGGGATGCTGATATAAAACATTGTAAAGTAAAGCTGTGGAGGTCAGGGTAGTGGACTGGGCATTTTTTTATTTTCATCTCTGACATTTGATGGCCAGATTTGTGTCCAACCTCGAGCAAATGTCACGGGGGGGGGACATCGGGGAACCCAGGTGCAGACACAGATCAGGCAGACAGATTGGTTAAGTGCAAAAGGATTTAATCAAACGGAAGCAAAACTGAAAACTAATACAAAAAGTGCAAACTAAACAGAGTGGAAAACAGAATGAGACAAACCAGACCGAACTCGACAAAAGGATGAAACTACACAAACCAGGGAAAACTACAAACTACGAACAGAGGGGAAAAACCTAATGAATACAAAGATAAAAAAAAACTAATCTACTCAAACAAACAGGAATACTCACAACAGGGGACAAAAACAAAGTGGGCAGACAGGCTCAGGGAATCCAGGGTGTGAAAGCGGTGGCAGGAGAAAGCTGGATACGTGAATGCGGGCGAGAGACGGAGCAGAGACTGACAGAAACAAGCAGGGGGAATGGCTATGATCCGGCAGAGTGTGGTGGAATGAACAGAGTCTTTATAGGAGCAGTGGTGATCGTGTGCAGGTTAGTCCGGAGATGCAGCTGAGGGTGATTGTCCTGTTTAGAGCCAAGATGTGCCGATTTTTTTTTCTGTACTATGCAGGTTTTCGTTGCACAAACTTATAAAAATATCTCAATCTTACTGTAGCTGATTCTCAAGGATGTTGTAGAAAAGCAGAAAAAAAGGGTACAAAATATGAACATTCAAAATATTGGCAATAATGTAATGTAATGTAGTTGAAATCATGTAGACATGCAGCCAGCCAGTAAATACTATAGTCCCCATCTGGGAAAACCCTGAAATCTGCTAATGTGGAGAATAGACCATCTGCTTTATTTGATGTTACATTTGTGATTATTTCCTCTTTTTTTTTTTTTTGTTGCTTCAATTCTACATTTTGAGTTGTGCCTACAGTACACTGCTCTCAAGTGTGACTTTAAAAGAGTAAAGAATGACCTTGAGCTTCAAAACCTTCAATATTTGTGAAGTGTGTGTAGGGATTTCATCGGTGTGAATAGATGGATCAACAAAACCCTAGACTTCTAATATATTGCATTGAACTCTGGTGTCCATTCCCGAACCTTAACCATGTGCTTATTATCGTAACTATGGTAACTAAAACCCCCTTTTTGTATTACAGCAAATCTCTAACTTTACTTAAGTAGGTCAACCAAACTGTGATCTTTCCTAAACACAACCAAACATTACCCGTAGTGTCACATCAAAAATAAGTATTTTCCAGTTTTGAACACACATGAGGTGGCTCTGCTGATATTGTCAAGGGATCAGATCATGAAACACTTCTATGTGTTATTCTAGAGGCCATGTTTAATTTTGATAACTTGTTGAAGATTTCAGTTACTTCTTGGCCTGAACGTCAGTTCTGGGGTGGTGAACAAATCCCGGGTTGGAGGAAATTTGTTGCCTCAAAGTTTGAGGGTTTAAGTATCTCGGGATTTTGTTTCCAAGTGTTGGCAAAATGGAGTTTGATATGAACAGACGGATTTGTGTAGTGTCAGCATAATGCAGGTGTTGTACTGGACCATCATCATAATGAGACAAAGAGCTTCATTTACCAATTGGTGTATGTTCCAACCCGGATCAATTGTCTTGGTGATAAGAAAGAATGAGATTGCATGACTAATACATTAAATTCCTCTGAGGGTGGCTGGGCTCAGCCTTAGAGATAGGATGAGGAGCTCAGACATCCAGATGGAGCTCTGTGTAGAGTCATTGCTTCTTCATGTCAAAAGGAGATAACTGAGGTGGTTCAGGTACCTGATTAAGATGTGTTGTGGGCAATTTCTTTTGGAGGATTTTTTGGGCATGTCAAACTGGGAGGAGATCCTAAGGCAGACCCAGAACTGGCTGGAGGGCTTACATATCTCATCTGTCCGAGGAACATTTAGCGTCTTGCCTATCCCAAACGTGCATTCCGCAAAACTTACGGATTAAATGATCCTGAAGAAATGCTCTCTCATCTTGCCTGTACTACTGTGTATGTACAGCAAAATGACAATAAACTTGATTTGATTTGAACACATTTGGATCCCCTAGGAGGACCTGGAGAGTGTTGCTGGGAGGGATACATCTGGAGTGCCCTGCTACCACAACCATGGATGTATTTCAGTTACCGGAGGTCTGTTCAACCGTATTGTGTTCATTGTGCCTTGCTTAGGAGATATAAAGATTGCACCAAACCTAGAAAATGCCTTACAATCGCAAACCATAATAAATATGTTACATGGAGGAGACAATCACAGAGGAGTCAAAGTTACAACTTGAATAAATGATTCATGTGTTTCAGTTTTTCTCATATCTCTCATTAGTTCCTCATCCAATCGAAACACTGTTATGTACCCAGAGAGAACAGATACTGGGGTATAAAACTACTGACTGGGTCTATAGGGAAACAAGATTTGTTCATAATCACAACGACAGTCCTTGCAGATATGCTCAGCAACACTTTGTCTTGGTTATATCTGACAGCATCATGTTGTCAAATTCCATCCATCCATTATCTATACACTGCTTAATCTTCACTAGGGGGGGCTGGAGCCTATCCCAGCCGACTTAGGGCGAAGGCAGGGGACACCCTGGACAGGTCGCCAGTCTATCACAGGACTACACTTGGAAACAGACAACCAAGCACACTCACATTCACACCTACGGACAATTTAGAATGACCGATTAACCACAACATGTGTTTTTGACTGTGTGGGAGGAAGCCGGAGAACCCGGAGAGAACCCACGCTGCACGGGGAGAACATGCAAACTCCACGCAGAAAGACTCCGATGCCCGAACCGGGACGCGTACCGGCAACCTTCTTGCTGCGAGGCAACAGTGCTAACCAACTGCGCCACCTTGCAGCCCCAATT